TTTGGGGGGGGGGGATATTGGACAGATGTGGAGCTGTGTGCTCCAGGAGAACGTGGCCACAGTCAATAAGGGATAAAATCCCTTTTTTTTTATCTCAGAAGAGGGACGTAAAACTGTTTTATCTCAGTAAAAGTGAGCCACGTTTGGGTTTTTTGCTCCAGTCCTGAGGCAGGGTGAGTGCCTGCTTTGGATCCCGGATCCGGGGGCTTTATCTGGGGGAAGGGCCGTGGGCCTGGTCCCGGCTCTGGAGGGGGCTGCCTGGGGCTGACCCCCATCAGCTGTGTGACCCCCTAATCTCCCCCCCTTAAACCTCCACAGCCCGGGCTGAGCCGCGGGCAGGTGGCAGCCCGGGACGTGGAACCGTCCTCAGGCGTTTTCACCAACAAAACTTCTACCACAACACCAGGACACCCGGACACTTCCACCAGGCTTTGTCCCGACGGGAAACCCAAAAGTTAGTCCGTTTTTCTTTGCTTTTTTTCCCCCCACTTCCAGCATTGTGAGCGATACGAACGAGGAAACGCTCGCGGTCCCGGTCGCGGCCACTTTACACAAGTCTGCCACGCGCACGGGGCGCACGGGACGCCCGTGGGTGCGCGTGAGGCTTCGGGGAGAAACGGTGAAAAGCGGGGAGAAAGCGGTACGGTACTCACAGAATGGTGGTCTGCGGAGACACGGCCGGCACCGTCTCCAGGTTGAGGTGCATGCACCTCACCGTGGTGCGGAAGCACAGGCAGCGGCTCGGGCAGCCGCGCGCGGGGCCCACGGCGAGCGCGAGGACAGCCGCGGCGAGGAGCACGAGCCCGGGCGCGAGCCGGCCAGCCCGCAGCGCCATTGCTAGCAGAGAGAGCCGAGGCGAACAGACCGCCAGCCGCCCCGCGCGCACCAGACTCGCGCACGCGCACGCGCGCGAGAGCGGAGTGGGAGAGGCAGACTCACGCGCGCACGCTCGCGGTGTTACACCCCCCTCAAAGTCCAAATGAGAGCAAAACCGGCAGGAGTTTTGTCTGATGGCGGCAGGCTAACACAAGTTTCTGCCCGGAGTCTGACTCCAGTTTCTGCCTGGAGTCAGAGGAGACAGACGGGGAAAAGTTGTGTATGTATGAGGGGGTGGGCATGAAGGGGGGGGGGGGAAGAAAGGTGCATAACCCTACTTTTTGTCAGAACTTTTAACTAACTTGGTTACTTTTTCTATTTTTCGCTCAAAGGAAGTAAGAAAA